CCTCCATCAGGTTGGTGATGAAGAAGTTGTTGGGCAGAGCCGGGACCCCCCGCTCGGGCAGGATCGAGGTCTGGCGGCACACGGGGCACGACAGGGACAGGCTCTGGGCCGGAATGTAGTTCTGCAGACACCTGGGGTCACAGGGGTCACATGGGGCATGACAGGGACAGACTCTGGGCCAGGACATGAAGGGGGCAGGGACAGGAATGGGGGCTGTGGGGGCACATGGGGTACATGGGCACAGATATAGGGACAACAGGGGAACAGATGAGGGGATGTGTCGCCCTGAAAACTCAGCTTCTGAGCTTGCTAACATAGTTTTCTAAGGACTTTCCCAGGACAGTAACTGCAAACATAGATATGTGAACATTCTTTCTGTTCCACGTCTTGTGATGGGCATCTCTCATGGCCAGTGCAGGGGGAAAGTGTTATCCTGACCATCCAATCCCTGGTCGTGGTCACAAGCCTATAAATCCTGGGAGGAAAAATAAACTCTGCTCTTTCTTTCACCACACCTCGACCTGTGTCCGCGTGATCTGTTCATCTTCAGCGGTAACAGGGATGGATGTGGGACAGGACCCGGTGGGGACTGGGGAGGTAGGATGGCAGTGGGGCCAGAACAGGGGGATGAAGGGACAGATGGATGGACAGGGAGACAGGGGAATGGACAGGCAGGTTGATAGGGGGACAGAACGGGGAACATGCCACCTAGGGTTGGGGGCCAATAGAGAGTGGGACTGACAGATGAACATGAGGGTCAGGGTACAGGACAAAGGCACATGGACAGGCCTGGGGACAGGCAGTGGCACGGGAACAGGTGGATGGACAGGGGGCTGCACACAGTGACAGTGGGACAGGGGGCAGCAGGACAGACAGACAGGGCAACGAGAACGCAGAGAGAGGGGAGCAATGAGATAGACAGGAGGGTTGGGGGGCAGGCAGAGAGCGCAGGAGAGATGGCAGGGCTGCACAGTGTCACACTGGGGTGCAGGAGGGGGACAGACGGACAGACAGATGGGGGTGCTGCGCAGGGTCACACTAGGATTTGAGACACAGATGGACAGACAGACAGGAGGGCTATGTGGCGTCACACCAGGTGGGGGAGCAGCAGAGGAGCACAGTCAGACAGATGGACAGGATGGACATGAGGCAGCAGTGCCAGTGCCCCTGGGGAGATGATGGATGATGGATGGATGGATGGATGGATGGATGGATGGATGGATGGATGGATGATGGATGGATGGAGCAGGATCATAGGGCTCTGGGAGCACAGAGAGAGGGGGCCATCAGCAACAAGACCCCCCTATTTGGGGACCCCAGCCACAGCACCCCCAGCATCCACACTCAGGGGTTCAGGGGCTGCGGAGTCCTTGCAGAAAAGTGGGATGTGGGGGGCACTGGGGTTCCAGCACTGCCATGGAATGCAGGGGGGTCCCAGCCCCCAGCTCTGAAGGCACAGGGAAGCTCAACCCCATCTCTCAGTGGGGAGGGCAGGGAGTGCAGGGGGGCCTGGCTCATCACCAGCAGGGAGCCAGGGGGACTCTGCTCACACTACAGGTTTAGGGGGTGTGGGAGAAGTGCAACACTGAGGGTCCAACCAGCAGCAGCAGGGTACAGGCTCTGGGACACAGGGGGATGCAGCAAGGCAGAGGGGGCTAGGTGTACTGGGGGGCAGAGGGGAAGGATGCTGGGGCAGGCGATGCAGAGGTGCAGCAAGGACATGGGGGGTGCACTGGGAGGGCTGCAGTGGCAGGGCTGCAGTCAGGACTCAGTAGGGTGCAAGGGGGCCCAAAGCACAGTGGGGATATGCTGGGGATGGACCCTGGCAGGGTACAGAGGGTAAGGGAGGGATGTAGGGGTGCTCAGAGACAGAGTGAGGATGGAGAGTGGGTTCCAGGGCACAGACGGTATACTGGGGGTGCAGTGGGATAGAGGGAGGAAGTGTAGTGAGGGTCCCACCTCTGACAGAAGGTGTGCAGGCAGGGATTGGGTTCAGGGGGTGCAGGGGGGACTCAAGAGGGGTTCAGGAGGTCCCGTCTCACAGAAAGCGTGCAGGTAGGGATGGGGTTTGGGAGGATGCAGGGGGCTCAGGGTGGGTTCAGGAGGTCCCACCTTTCGCAGAAGGTGTGCAGGCAGGGCAGCACCTTGGGGTTGCAGTAGCGGTCGAGGCAAATGCTGCAGATCAGGAACTGTTGGTCAATCTGCCGCACCACCGGGCTGGCGGGCTCATGGCGGGCCATGGTGGCTCCTCAGCCTGGGAGGCACACCACAGTGAGGGGCAGGGACCCTGCAACCCCCAGTGTTGCTCTGTGGCACCCCAAAGCCACTCCCAGTCCCAACCCACTGTGCCACACCACCCCCACCCACCCCACAGGCTCACGGTGGGTCGTGGCAGACCCTCAGCCTGAGAATGGAGGGGAGGGGGAATTTAAATGCGTGGGAGGTACCACGTGGCACCCTGCAGCCCACCACTCAACCCACAATGCCCCACAGCCCCCCGCCCACCCCACAGCCTCACAGAGGGCCATATCGGACACTCACCCTGTGGCATGAGGGCTCAGCACCCTGGGGAGCCCAGAGCCCCGACCCATGGCACCCACAGCACCCACCCCAAGGCATCCCACAGTACCTGGCCCCACAGACGCCTTGTGGGG